TTGGTTTTTCTCTTTTGACTTTTTTTGCTTTTCTTTTTTGCCCTTTCCCTCCTTGCTTTCCCTTTTAACTTAATGGTGTAGTCTCCTCTGAAGAGGGCTCTGGTATATGTTCTGGAGACTTTTCTGTCTCTGAAGAGACTTCTGGCTTCCCTTCTGTCAATTTAGGTTCCTCGGGGACTTGAGATGCCTCCTGCTCCTGACTCTGAGCCTGGCTGTTCATTTTCTCTTCTGCTTCAATTTCCTCCGAGGTGGGAATGGAGTTTTTCTTTGGACGGCCTTTGGGTTTTGTTGGAGCTTCTTGTCCACCCTTCAGCACCTGGAGCAAAGAGATGAACTGTCAGGATCAATCTGAACTCCACTGCTGTGAGACACCCGTTAGAGGAGGATGGAACTCGGCTTTGACCTTAATCCATGACTTGGTCACCATTTCAGCCTCACAGAAATGCCCTGAATTCACGGTGTGAGCGCGCCCATTATCTTGTATAAACAAAATGAAATGCAAACTTTACCAGCAAGGACACCAAGAACTCTGGAGGCCCCTCAAGTCTGTGCCTACGGGAGGCCCAAGAGCAACGAAGGGAGAGAGTCCTCAACACTACAGAGATTTTATGCAGAATTCAGTTCCTTTCCTGAGTGTTTGCTTCTAACATAATCAGATCTGTTCCTACATTTAATTCCCTCTCCCTTCACACCATCACTGCACCAGCAAGACACTTCCAACCAAAGATCTGCATCCAAGCCAACCCCAAATTTGTTTTAAGTGGCAGTAACTTGTGCAGCTGTCACATCCATCCAAAGATCCAGTCCAGAACTGCACTCCTCTCCCAGACCGGAATACATAAACATTTCCACCGGAGAGTGTCACAGCATCATGGTTCCCACCAGGATTTATCGGACAGATGTCCTTTCTAAAAGCATTTTAACTGGAAAAGGGCCATGAAGCTAAGAATAAGTGAAAGAGGTGAAAGGAAGATATGCAAAGCAAGAATGAATGATATTAGCTCTCAAAACTGCATTGGTTTCCATGGAGCAATACAATCTTCTTGTCTGTGCACATAACCAATCCCACAAGCATTAAGATGACAGGAATG